TCGATCAAGATGAACACAAAGAACAGAAGAGAGAAAAGAGAAAATACAAGGAGGAATATTGGGTAAAGGTTTTATTATTGATGAAGTTAAGTATGTACACCTTGAGAAATTTTGAGAGCACTGCCTCCGTGTGTGTATATATATCCGTGTCTATCAAATCTTTACCAAATATCTACCATATATATCTCTATCATATTTTCCAGATATATCTCTACTAGATCTAAGCATCAGGCTTAAAAATAATTCATGACAATACGTCGAGATTAATTCATAGAAAAACATTTTTTTACTGACTAACTTCAAAACCGTGAGCCACAAAAAGTGAAACGTTATGTTGCAATGGTCACATGGCCCACCAATCACTTCCCACCACCACCACCCAATAATAACATACTAATATAACCAAAAAGTTACTTTTTTTTTTTTTTCTCCAATATTATTTTTAAATATTTCAAATTAAATAAGACTTTGTCTCGAGCTGTAACCCTCTTCTTTTCCCCCTCACATGATAATTCCAAGAGCATTCGAATTCGTGTCAGTGGAGTTTTTTTTTTTTTTCTTTTAATTTTGTTCTATTTATTACGCCAATTCAAGCATAAATCAACTGACAATACCTTAATTATCATTTAAAATATCAATAATTCGATTTTCAACACATGTTTATATTAACATCTTCTCGTTTTTAAGAATAAAAACTATTTTCATAAGCTACGGCAAATAACATATTTTGTTTTCACTTCATTGCATTGAAAAAGTCATAGAATATCACCTAACATAAAATATTTTCAAATTAAGCATATGAACTACCACAAAAATGTGTAATTTGTTAGTATAGACATTAACTTTCAATTTTTTAAAATTTTTTAAAATTTTTTTAGTCGTCATATCTTTAAGATTGGATGTGGTTCCAGTTCATTATCGATATCATAAAAAGTTAATTCATTCACAACTTCAACCCAAAATTAGAAAAAAAACAAAAGGTTGATCTCAACATCTCATTTTGTTCTATCAACATTTTTGTTTTAATCACTAAAAAAAAAGCTTAGACCTTTGCCTTTATATATGTATATATATATATATATATCTTCTACTGTGCCCTCCCCATAGCTCAACCTTGTCCCTTCTCTTTCCTTTTTCTTTCTTTCTTCCTCTAACAATGCAAACTTCAAGCTACTCTAACGACACCATGACCGACCCGAGCAGCAACAACACGAGAGCATCGGAGGCAGGCGGCAGCAGCGGGAACGGAGGGACAAAGGTGAAGATGGGTTGCAATAGAATTGTAGATAAAGAAGGAACAATGTTAAGTTATTGAGAAAGACCAGAGCTTTGCAATTGCATTGCAGAGGGGAATTGAGGGTAATGGTCCGAAATTAAGGCTTCATTTTTGCTTATTTTGTAGTCTTTTTTTTAGTGCTTTAAGACATGGGCTGTAAGAGATGCATACAAGCATAGCCATTATTAGGGTTTTTGTAAGAGTGTGGTTCTAGGGTTTTAGGGTTTTAGGGTTTCGGGTTTCGGGTTTTGTTGGGCATGCATCGCTTACACCAAGCATGTACTTTTTTCTATCACTTTAATCGAAAATTATTGGATTGTGTTTGTTTGACGCCGTCAAGTCGGGTCACATTACGACGTTTTAACTTTTTAGATCCTCCGTCTTTGTCTCGTGGGACAATCATTCGATTAGTGAGGTTCTCCGCCCTTGATTAAAATGAAATTTTCGCTTCAAATACTATCACCCCGAGTTTCAATCCAACGGTAGCCCAAAGATTACAATATCTAATGTAACGATTGAAAGGTTGATCGACAACGAGATTTCAATTAAAAAAAAAAAAAAAAAAAAAAAAA